ATACTACACACATACATACTACATACATACATACATACAGACTACATATATACATACATACTACATACATGCATACTACATACATACATATTACACACATACATACATACTACACACATACATACATACTACATACATACTACACATACATACATACTACATACATACATACTACATGCATACATACTACATACATACTACATACATACATACTACATACATACTACATCCGTACATACTACACACATACATACTACATACATACATACTACATACATACTACATACATACATACATACTACATACATACATATACACAGAGAGACATACACAGACACAAAGGAATTCAAATCTCCAAGTAATTGTATTGAGTGAAAAGCCAATCCCCTAAAAATGAAATAAGAGGCAGATTAGTAGCTGCCAGGGTTGAGAGGTGGGCAGGGTGACTGGGTACCTATGTGGTGATCTGGAGAAACATACAAGATCTCCATGTATATGGAAGAATAGGTTTGTAGCCAACCATTTCAGTTTTGCCATATGTTCGTAATGAGAGAAAGCGGGTAAGGATCTGGTAGTGCATCCTGATGGTTATTGCTTACACTGCACACAAATCTACAATGATCTAAAAAAAAAGTAGTTTAATAAAAGAAATGAGAGAACGATGAACGTAGTTTTTAAAAATATAGGTGGGGGTGGGGGCTAAGATACGAAGGCCCTGAGGGACAGGGTGATCAAAGAGAGAGGACAAGGGGAAAGATAAAAGGTGAGGAAGGCCAGAGGTGTGTGTGTGTGTGTGAATAAAACGGTACTGGTGTGAGTGTTTATCAGAAGTGGAGGGAGAGGCAGAGATGAGGCGGGGCTAGGCTCCCCAGGACCGACATGCTCATCCCGGGGTGCCCCAATTCTCAGGCTCTGCTCTTCATCTCGTTCCCTTACTGTCCTGGGTCTACTGGTACTCACTCCTCTGCAAGCCACTCCTCCTGGCCAAGCAGATCTATTTTTGCCAGGCCCTATAGACGCCTTCCCTGCACGCCTTCATTGAGGCTGCCCTGCTAACCACTCTCTACCTGTGTCTCTTTTGTCACCTGCCAACTAGGCTGTAAGTCACACCCCCTCACAGGGTAGAGCAGGCAAGGTGTACAAATGAGTCTGTCTTCTATCTCAAGAGCTTGCATAAGGCAGGAGCTTCCCTTGCGGTCTGAAGGGATGTGAGTGACTGTTAAGGTTCACGTGACGAAGATGGGTTTACAAAACAAGCAAGCCCACCTGACGAGGGCAGGGAAGGCTGCTCTTCAGTGAGGTTTCTGTGCTGCTATGAAAGTTAGCTGGCTGTCATGACAGTTTTTCTTTGTAAAGGGGCCTAAGGACCTGGACATCCATGGTTTCTCTTGCATTAGAGACAACTACCTTCTTAGGGCAGAGATAGTATCATATATGGGTCGCTCTTCTGATCCACTGTCCACCAAGCTTACGTATCAGAGCTGGTATCAAAATGGCTGAGGGATGGAATCTTAGAACACTGGCTCAGTCCCAAATGGCAGCTGAGTCTGTTTGGTTCTCGCTTTGCCCCTTTCCCACTAAGATCTCCCTAGTTGTAAGATTTGGGAGCCTGGGATGGGAAAGAAGCTGAGAGACAGGCAGCATTCCCAGCCTAAACAGATAAGTCAGGGCCATGAGGAGGTTCCTGCCAATCCCAGCCCCTCTCTGTCTCCTTTATCATCTCCCAGAATCTCTGGTCAGCCTATGCACTTGCCCTTGGAGACCAGGAAGAGCTGTTGCTACCTGCTAACTGGTCAGATTATCCCTGACCTTTGCTCCCAGCCTGCTCTGGTCTGGACTGACAGTAGAACTTAATATTTAAGCTCTAGCCGGGATCTCCAGGGTCCTGTGTTAAAGGTTTGGTTCTGACATTTAGCTTTAACACGGCTCTTGGCAAAGTCTGATGTCACCCTGGGCTCTGTTGACAATAATAGCTCCCTTATCAGAAAGTCAAGGTAGGAGTAACTAGACACCCAGGACAGCCACCCAGTTCCTCCCATTGCATTTCCTCTCCTGGCTTTTAAAATAATTTCAAAGAAATACACTTCCTAAATTGTTTTAGAAAAAAAAATACATGCAGGTAATTTTATTCAAATTTCTCCTTGTAATTCTTTTTATCTAAACTCCCATTCTCCTGTCTCTAGAGGGGAAGAAAAGGAAGACAAAGAGAAGGGAAACTTTCTCCATGGCTGACAAGTGTCGTAGTAGTCAGGGGCCCCTCAGAAACACTGCCTCTCAGTGACCATTTCACACACAGTGAAAAGCTTAATCTAAAAATGGCCACACTGAGCCACCCATAGGTCCCTGCCCCACCACTCAATTTTGTCCTATTGTCCTCCACCCCCAGTCTAAAAATCTGGTCAGTAGTGGCTTGGAAAATACCGGCAAGCTTTAGCTAACGTTCTCTTAAATGGAAAACAACCCTGCCCAAATGATTACATTTGAAAAGCTCCAACAATTATTTATTCCTGGTGCATTCTAGGTGATCATCTGGATGCTGAGCTGATTTTAAATAGCGTTCGGAAGTGGATGGAGTTTTCAGGTATTTGAACTTCCAGCATACCCTCCCGTGGTGGCTTGACCCCAGAAGGTATTCAGAATCTCAGCATCATAGAAGGGAGTGGGAACCAGAGACTGAACACAGTGCTATGTAGTAAACTTCATCACAGATGACCACAGTAGCCTTAGAAGGCTCCTCAATTCAATTCATGGATCACAAACCCAGTCATACACTTGTCAGGTCCCTAAGGGGACCTCGCAGCCTGTGTATCATGTGCCAGAGGATGTAAGGCCAACAGAATGCAATCACAAGGATATATTGTTATATCCATCTGACCCACGAAAAGAGGTGTTCTGAATATCCAGGATGTGGAAGGCAGCCTCAGAGGACTCTATCCTGGGGAATCCTTCTGAGATCTAACTTTATACAGAGTAGGAATTTCTGTATTGGGACAACTCTGGACAGAGGCAGAAAGCTCTGGGCAGAAGAGATGACCAACTCCATTCATCTCCTGCTCTCCCTCCTGCCTTCTCTCCTCCCACAACTGACCTGCTTGCTAGATGGAGCATAGAACGCACTCATTTTATGCTTAAAGCAGATGTGCTCTTAAGCAAGAAATGCTGCTTCTGAGTGCCCAGCCAGCAGTAGGTAGCCATCTTGGAGAGGCTACATCAGAGTGATGGGCACTTTTTTCTGTCAGACAGCTAGGTTGTAAATATGGGGAAGATCCTGGGTGTTGTTGGAGGATTAAGTTATCTCCGTGATAGTACCTCTTCCATGGTCTGATACTGCCATGCTCCCAAGTACACCCTGTCCCCTAGGACTCCCACTGGAAGCTGAGCCTTTTCCTGTAAGACTAGAATATTCCAGACCTGTTCAAAAGTCTATGATCCCAAGGAGTCTAGCCAAGCCTTTGATGGTACAGCTCAATTCAATCCTTTTTATAAATCTCACAGCATCACTTTGCTCTGTTCACCTGCCAGAGCCTGGGAAACCCTGGGATAGAATTCAAGACTGCATTCATGTGAACCAGACATGGTGGCTCACGCCTCTAATCCCAGCACTCCAGAGGTGGACAGATTTCTGTGAGGTCAGTCTGGTCTACATAGTGAGTTCTAGGCTAGGCAGGTCTGTGTAGTGATAGCCTATCTCTCAGATAACAAAGGAGGTGGAGAGAGACTGTATCTAATCGAAGGTATGGATCCCGGGAAGCTAGAACACCTTACAGTGTTAGTCTTTAATAATAAGTTCAGGATTTGAAGCCAGGAGCTGGTGAGGACTGTGAAGATTAGAACCTCCCTTTAGGGTCCAAGAGGATCCTTTTGCTTTAGTTCCCTCTAGAAAGCAAGACAACCTAGTTCTGCCCCACAGGGCTTGCATCCAGGGCTTGCAACCCCGTCCCGGCTCAACATCCTGGTTCTGTACGTATTAGCTGCTTTCCCCTACTTCTCCAAATGGATTCCCATGCCCCGTGTCACCAGCAGCTTGCTTATGATAAAAAATTGCTATACTTTGGAGTCAGATACTGATGAGAATCTCCTGTTGTAAGCTCAGTTACTCACCCTCTCCGGGTTTCCATTTCTAACCTGTGGAACAGGATTGCTAGTCTCTGTTTAACTGAGAAGAGTCAGAGTGAACATGCACGTTCTGACTGTTTGCCTGGTGTTTGATAGGGCCCTGGGCTCTTGGTATGGATACTGGGCAGGCTAGAGCCTCCTCCACTGCCTTTTGGGAATATCTCACGAAATTTTGAGGAGCTAGCACTGAATGAAGTCTGCTTCACAGTCCCAGGAAAGAAAAAGCCCCCTCCCAGTGGCCTGCCCTTGCATTTGAAGGAGACCCTGACAGAATCAGGGGCTACGGAGTAGATCTCCAAGGAGAGACACCTTCAAGAGAAAGCTACAGTGTAATTGTCTTCCTCCAGCTTTTATCTTTAACCCTTCTTTTGAATGATCGCAGAAATGTTTTAAAATGAAAGAAAGCATATAGGTAGTGACCAACGCTGACAGGATTGGTACTACAAAAGCACTTTCCCAATTTGATTAGAAAGCAGCTGGGGCGGAGAGTCTACGGTCCAGGGGTTCTCCCTACCCGACCATCTCTGTCAGCACTTGAAGGTAGAGAGCTCTTTCTGGGAGCAAGGTTCTCTTTATCTCCTCCCAAGGCCTGGCCAGGCAAGCCAAAGATGGAAGGTTTCCCTTGCACAGGTATCCGGGTCTGGTGCTGGGAGCAGGGCGTTTACAGTCTTGGGGAGCCTGGACTCCTCATCTTGGGGCGGCCGGCAACTAAGGCCAGTTTCAGTTTGATGAACTTCGGACCGCCGGATCTTGTCCACATCCCGTCACAACCGGACAGGCTCCGGTAGGGGGAAACCTGTTTAGAACCACAGGACCCCTAGTGAGGGTCCGGCTTGGGGAGTCCCTGGACTGAGGAGGGACGCAAGGGAAAGGAGACAACTTACTTGTAAAGCTGAGAGCTTCTCTGAACCCTTGGGGCTAACTTCTGGCGATCCTTCCAAGGCGGTGCAGCTGGCCCTCAGGATTCTCCAGGGGATTCCCTAGCCTCAGGCATTGCCGACAATAGGGCAGCCGCCCTGAGCCACTCTGGTGTCGCAGGTCCAGCTAGCAGAGGCGTCTAATCCCCCGCCCCTTCATCAGTCTGCCTCGCCCTTCTATCTAGAGAGAGCAGCGGGAGGCTCTCTGCTGTCCCTCTCCTCTCCGCCCTCCTCTTTTCTCCCTCCCCATCCCCTCCGGTCCCCCCTCCCCCGGTTCTCCTCCCTCTGTCCCCCTACAATTGAATCTCTGGATTGAACGCGATTTAAAGGGCCACAGGCAAAGGAGAACCACAAGGAAAGGCAGCAATGGGGGAAATGCGTGCACAACGTGGTATATGATGGAGATGGGTGAGAGCTGTTGATCGGGGGTTGCAGTCACTTAGGAAGGAGTCCGGTGCTGGATGCCGGGAGGAGAGAGCAGGCAGCCTCCTCCCTACTCTCTTGTCCACTATTCCCTCTTCTCCCTTGGTTCACCACCTCCCTCCAAGATCTCCTTGTTGATGCTTCCGTGCTTCTGGTCAGAGACCTGCGCCACCTATGTGAGTGTGTGAGAGCCTCCCATGTGTATGTGGGAAAGCTCACGTGTACATGTGTGCGTGTGTATGAGATCGCCCGCGTGTGTAAGCGCCCCCGCTCGTGTGTGAGCGCTCGCGTGCCTGTGTTTAGAGGGTGCAGAGGAGCAGACAGAGGAAAACTCTTAGGGCAGAAAATGAAGGCTCAGAGCTTTGCAGGGAGGGACTGCTCAGTCACTCTGGGCCCTTTGAGGAGGCTGTTGACAGAACTTCTGTGCCCTCCCACAGCCCATATGCATCAGGTGGGGACATTCCCCTGGAAGTTGGGAGTCACAGTCCAGTTGGCACCTTAAACTGTAAACCAAGGTTGGGTCTGGCTCTTGAGACTGGGACGATCCAAACCACTGGCTGGAGGTGAGAGTCTAGAGAACGGAGAAGGGAAGTGAGTCTTTTGTTGGGGTGTTCTGCTTAGGACACCTTCTCCTGGGTAGTCTTATAGCTAAGTGGGAATGGCGATTCATTGAAATGGATATGGCCTTCCCTTGAAAGGCAAGTGATACCTGAACCATCTTCAGGTAAGGTGGGTGGCCTTACCTCCCACTCTCCACTTTCTCTTCTGTTCCTCTGTTCCCAAAAAATTCTTTATATAGAATATTAAAAATGTAATGTCATTTCTGATGCAATGTTACGTGTACATTGCTGTCCTAATAAGCGTGCTGAATGGAAAGATGACCAACGATGGCATTACTGGCACCCCACCCCCGAAGCCCCATGTTTCCTCAAGCTCCCAATCCCACCAACCTTCCGGTCCATTGTACATTATTCTGTACCCACCTCTCTGCATAGATCCCTTGATTGTATTTCACTTACAGACCACATTGGCTGCTGCTCTGGGGGCCTGAACATCCTTCTTTCCTTCTGGGAATCCATTGTTAGTCTCTACCCCAGCCCAGATCTTTCTCCTTGCAGGCAGAAAGCCCCACTCTCCTTTTGTGGACTGTTTCTGGCCTTGAGCATAGAAGACTCTATTCTTCAATGAACTGTAAGAAAGGCAGGAATGTCACTGCACAGGAAGGGCTGTTGTCTGGGAGAGCCAGCAGGTGACTGTCTGTTGGTGCCTTCAGTGGTGCCAACTCTAACCCCTCTCTGTCTGTTACCCAGTCTTTGGGGTTCAGCACCCCAATTCCAGGCTTAGGATATGCTGTCATTGGCCTGATTGTGCTTGTGTATCCCCAGGCCCTACCTCTAGGGTTTGGGAGAATTATTTATCATGTGAATGAGTGATGACCATCATAAGGAAGCTGGTTTATTCCATGACAAGGAGAAATGTGCCTGGCACCAAGTCTGACATGCATCTACATGGTCTTGCTAGAAAGCAGCACCCAGGAGCCACAATCCTAGCCCCACCCAAACAGAGCTGAGTGCCACCAAGCCAACACCTGTTTTTGGTTACTCACAGTAGCCTACTCTATTAAACAGGAAACGGCTTGTCTGTCCCTCAAGGGACTTTGACTATCTTGGTGCTCATCCGTTGTCCTAGTTAGGGTTACTATTGCTATGATGAAACACCATGACCAAAAACAAGTTGAGGAGGAAAGGGTTTATTTGGCTTACACTTCCACATTCATAGTCCATCACTGAAGGAAGTCAGGATAGGAACTCAAGCAGGGCAGGAACCTGGAGGCAGGAGCTGATGTAGAGGCCACAAAGGGGTGTTGCTAACTGGCTTGCTCATCATGGCTTGCTTAGTCTGTTTTCTTATAGAAACCAGGATCACCAGCCCAAGGATGGAACTACTCACAGTGGGCTGGACTAGGCTCTACCAGCCACTAAAGAAGATGCCCTACAGCCAGATCTCATGAAGTCATTTTCATAACTGAGGTTCCCTCCATTCAGATGATTTTAGCTTGTGTTAAGTTGACAGAAAACTAGCCCGCACATCCATAGGTGTTGGTTTAATGTTCAGTAGGGAGTACTTAACTCTTTGGTTTTCTGGTTGTCCCGAGTAGCTGGGCGGTGTTGCTCTGAGATCCAGCTAATGCCTAACATGAAGCTTTTGCAGAGTCTTGGCTTCGTGTTCTGCTCTGTAGTAGCAGTGGCCTTTGGAGTGCTTTAGAGAACAGGCAGAATCTATAACAAGGAGCGGGCTTTGACAACATTCTCTCAGGGCTGGGACCTTGAGCCAGAGGCAGAATAATCTATGTCGAGTTTTTAGCCTAGGCCTGGAAAATGAGAGGTGGTGGGTGGGATTTTTAGTCCTGACTAGTGTGTGGAAATGTAGGGTGGTCTGGATGTTTCCAGCCTGAGGCTGCAAGAGAGTATAAATGGTGTCTAAGGATAAATGACACGGCTGCTGGATGACTTAGAACTACTTAGAACTACTTAGAGAGCTTGAAAGGTGCTAAGTGTGTCTTTCATTGTCTGGAAATTAATGAGAGATGCAGAAGGTAGCAGGGCTGATGTGGGTTATCACCGTTAATTAGCATACAGACACACCTCCTCTGTCCCCTTTCATTTGCTTCTCTTTCCTTCTTTCATGAGCAGGAACTGAGTTCACAGTTAAAGTTTTTCTCTTTAGAATATGACACTTACAGGAAATTATTTTTTTGCCTATTTATAGAAATTCCATTTGCATTTATGAGGCCAGTAATGTCTCATAAATATTTCCTGCCAGATAAAATATTAATTAAAAGAATTTGTGGAGTTATACTCTGAAGTCCTAACTAAATCTCTTTTAAGACAAATATTTTAAGCACTGTTTTCTTACGCTAGGAGGATCCCTCATCCATCCCTGTGTCTGTTAATAAGCTCTCCGGGAACAGCAGATATCAATCAATGAGGTTTCCCCCGATATTTAATTAATAGTCAGCTGGCATCCATGCAAACCTAAAAAAACTAAAAAAAAAAAAAAGTGTTGCTGATACAACTCCAGCCCTTACAATAGCATCTCCTTTACCCTCAAGAATTAGCAACCTGAAATTTGTTTTCTGTTCTTATGGCTTCTTTATACTAAAATTGCATGTGCATATGAGTACACACACACACACACACACACACACAAGGCTATCCAGTCAGCAAACACTGGCCATGCCCACGGAATTCCCTCCTCATTCACTATAATACTTTCTCTAGTTACCAGCAGGCAGAAACTGTGGCCTGAATAAACCAAATGGGAAAATTCCAAAATACTCAATTTATAAGTTTTAAATGGCAGGTGATTCTGAGTAGAGTAATGAAATGTCACACATTTCATCCTGTCCTATCAAGGCACAGGGTGTCCACACTGTGCGAGAGACCAACACACCTGCACATACTTGGCAACCAATGCTAATGTCAGTCTGTCTCTACCTTACTTAATAATATCTCTGAGGCAACACTGTAGCAACATAGGTCACACAGACCCCACAGCTGTACATTGATTCCTTTCAAAGAAACCACAAAAATTACCAACTTTAGAAGAACTTTCACTGGGCCAAGGTTGCTACAGTTTCAATAGTAAAAACAAAACTTCTGTCTGTGGAATTTCGAAGAAGGGGAAAGAAATCTGTGCTAGTTTTGTTGCATAAAGTGTGCTGGTTAAGGTAAGGAGACATCCCATTGGGATGGAACTGGATGCCATGTGCTTGGCTTGGATGGAGAGGCCTTACATTTGTGCATGTATGTGTGGGGAAAGTCGCAAGTGTTCAGTTATTTATTCAATGGGGGCAGTGGTTCAGAGGAGTCATTGAGGCATTTCATATTCACCAGCCGGCCTGTGATGCTTAAGACACTTTGGTAGACGTGTAAGAGAAAATAACAATCATAATGGAGGACCTGGATCAAAAACACCTCCTATAAAATTGGAAGGTTATCAGGTGTACAGGGAAAGTCAAATTCGAAACGTGGGTTTTAATTCCTCTTGGGGAGCTGGGTTATGGTGTGTAACTGCTAAGAATGCTAATGAAGCCCAGAGAGAGCAATCCAGCAACCAGCTGGGGCTGACTTGAATAAGTCTGGAACAGGTGCTAGGATTTTCACAGAGGAGAGGGTGGGTGTGAACCAGATACGGCCAGGTGAGCTCCCTGGGTTCCAGGACTAGAAGTGTGTGGTGGGGAGAGGGAGGTGCTACAGGGACTTGGGGGGATAGTGGGAGATTGTAATTTTCTGAATACCTACTATGCTCTCAACTCTGCCAGATGCTTCCTGTAAGTAATTGCCTGTCACTTTCTCTACAGCCTCTGAGGAACAGGCTCAAAGGAGAGAGTGCTCTTCCCGCAGGTGCAGTCAGCAACAATGTCTCCGAGCTCTTAGCAGAACCGATTTTCTTAGATTCTAGAGTCATAGTTCTAATTGTTATGGACTGACCTGTGTCCCAACCAAATACTCAAGCTGAATGTCTAGCCCCTAGTACCTTGGTAAGTGGCTGTATTTGGAGAGAGGGCCTTTGAAGAATTAATTAAATCAGTATGAGGATATTGTGGTGAGCTCTGATCTAATTTGGCTAGTGCCTTTATAAAGAAAGGTCATTTGGACACAGAGAGACACCAGGAATTGTTATGCAAAGATGAAAGTCCCTAGGAAGACACAAGGAAAAGATAATTGTATACA